GGATTCATGTCAGCATGCCTCTTTTACGATGTGATGTGTCAACGTATTTGTCAGCGTCGGAGACACTGATTGTTTGAAGAAAGACAAATACTCAACGAGCCATTGAAATAGGTCACAATGCAAACCTTTTTCGTGTTTCAAACATTTTCCCTTATCTTTTATTGGCTACTTAGTGTCAAATAAAAGTCGTCCATTTGCGCAATGGAAATTCATTTCCGTTTTTCTTTTTTCTTCTTCTTTGTTTGCGAAGGATTATGGTATTGTGGTTTCAAATTGATGGAAATGTGTGTTATGCGTTTTCTAACCTTTCACATCGTAATTCGATTAAGCGAAACTTTTCAATGGTTTGATTTTGCTTCTATTCAAAACGTTAATGGTATCATGCGAACGATTTTCCAGATTGTGTGTGCTCATTGCTCAATCTCACTGAATCCAATTCAACTCGAACTCGGTTACGAATTGAAATGTTTTTTGATTATTTTTGTTTTGATTGCGTTCGTGTGACCTCAATTTTGTCGTGATTTTTCTTAAGGGCCGGCGAATAAAATCAACGAGTTTTTATTTCAACTTCGCATTTTAGCCTTTCACTTCTGATAAATTGACACATACACTAATTCAAATAAATTGCATCGACCAGATATCAGGAGGTTGAAGTAAACTTGGTAACTTTTTAACCTTTTTAGCTTTTGGTTTTTCGAATGACGTCGTCGAAATGTATTGTTCCGTCAATAGTCAGGTAATTCAATTAACTGAGAAATAGACGGAATTGTCTAGTTAATTTGCCATCAGATGTCTCATCGAGTTGCGAAATGCGATCGAAATCACAAGGACTGAGAAAGAGACAGAGAGAGAGCGAAAGAGAATAACTTGTGCTTTTCCATTAGTATGACATAATGTTCGAGGTTGTATATCCTGTGTCAAAATGTGTCTGGTTACTGTGCACAAAATCCAATTGCAAAAGCCTTAACTTTGCTTAATCAATTCAATAATTCGTGAAAGTGAGAATGAGAACAAGAGAGGAAGAGGACGAAGCGCGCCGCCACACACACACACACACACACACACACACAATTGTGCCCAAGCAAAGTCATCGCATATGTTGTAAATCGAATGGCGGTAAAAAACCATAAATAAGTAATCATGGAAGGCAAATAATCGGTTGGAAAAGAACGGAAACCAACAAACTAACTCGAAATAATTTGCAATCCTTTTTATCGGCAACGGAGTCTAAACATTTCAGCCGAACCAATCGCTCTGGCTTTTTCCTCTTTTATTCCGCTTTTTATTTTGCTCACTCTCGCAATTTACTTTCGTGCTTGTTGTTGAGCCGAACTGATGGCCCAAGCGAAATGAAAAAGCGATGCAGCAAAATTGTGGTTATTTGCACGATATCCGGCCTGATACGGCTGATTACAGTGAAAGCGGCAATTTTATGCTCGCAACTCGATGCCATGCTTTGAGTGTGTGTGTGTGTGTGTGTGTGAGAGTATTTTCTCTCTGTGTGTGTAAATAAATGACGAGCATTTTTGGAGTTTTAAGCAATCGCTTGCCTTTCCGATTACGGTCCTCTTTCTCTCTCTCTCCCTCTCTCTCTCTCTCTCTCTCTCTCTCTCTCTCTCACTAGTCGCATGAAGCTAAACGTTTCCGCTTCATGGAAACCGATTCGAGCTTGTAAAATATCACTCGCTTATTTATACGCTTGATATCGAAAGTGGTTTGGCCGAACCAACGAACGAACGAACAAAATCAGGCTCCACTACTACGAAAAACTCGAAATTAATTTAATTCCATGAATAAAAAAGCACACAGAGAGACAGAGAAAAAGAGACCCGCAAACCATTGCACTTAATCCATGTTCATTGGTCGCTCTCATTCTCTCTTGCTTGCTCGGTCGTTGTTGTTTTTCCGCCGACCACCACATACACAATTTATATCAACATGTAAAGTTTTGGCTGTGTTGTTTTTTGCACTCGGCTTAATTAGTACGTTTTATTTTAAAATATAATCAAATTGCAAACTACATTTTTCACCGACTTGGGCAAACAAGCGGCGGGAGGTGAATATGAGAAAGAAATGGAGGAAGAATGTGAATTTCATTAGTTGCTCTCTTTTTTTTCTCATTGTGTACCTTAATCACGCATTCAATTCTCGTAATTGCAGCATTTTTTTCCATTCTACGAATATCAGGACAAATGTTTTTCAATGTTGATTTTATCCGGGTTTACTTTTTTCCAGCTCGAATGCATGTTGCATTGAGCAAATTAAGTTGTTTTTCTTTCGCATCGTCGGACTTTGTATAAAATATTACACGTTGATGTTAAAATACGGATAATTATTATGTTATAATCGCAAATATGGAATAAAAAAATGGAGACAAGAGTGAACGAACGACTTTAATTCAAAAGAACATTGTCGGTAGGAAATTATGACTTTGCATCAAATGTATGATGAAGTCTATTCATTATTTATGATAGTCATACGGTAGCAGCGTTTCCATCATTTATCAAACAGACTTTTAAAGTGAATGGTTCAAACGTTGGAAAATCGACCGCTGAAACGTTGAATAGTTGAAACATCTCCTGTGGGTGAGTGCGGTGCGGGAGGCATCGATCAAAAATGTGCTTTATAATCAAAATTAAGCGTTGAAATGTGCTTAATCATTGGCACACACACACACACACGACCAATGGACTATCCGGCCCTAATACGAATTAAGTCATTAAATAGATGTACAAAGGAAAAGCATAGACACATCGAAAATCAATCGACTAACGCACACACACACACACACACCCTAATTTGCATTTGTAAAGGGGAGAAATGGCCGAGCATATATTATATTCAGTCAAAGATAAAAAAAACCTTTCAATTAAGAGCGGACATAGTTGGAGCTTTAGTTTTTCGGAAAATGGCTCAATTTTCATGTGTCTCGTGGAAAGTTCAAACAATGGCAAAATTAGAAACGGACGAATATTCTCTGTGTTGAATTATAAATTCAGTCAATTTTCCGGAAAACGGACTTTGTACATTCATTTTGGCCGTTCGAATATTTTGCAAATGGTGCCGAATTTTAAGTTCCCATGCCCGCACACACAGCCGTTCACTGTAAAATACACACGAGTTTCATTGTTCAATAGACGTACATGGGCAACAGCAGTAGTAACAGCAGCCAATAAAAATAAAAGTGAATGTGTGTAATGTCTGTGTAAACAACCCAGACATGATCATGCCAACGCCAGTTTATTCCCATCTGATTCATTGTTTTCGCTACGGCCAACATGCTCTCTTCGGCCAACGAGAGATTCGAGCGACCACTTGCAGATTCCGAAAATTATATGGAAAATTATTTTAAAACGCATTTGCTTTCGTTCTCTTGCCATGTTCGCATGTTCGGCTGCAGGGAATATGTGTGTGCATGCGGAGATGGTTCTTCTTTTATGGTAACATATCAACCCAACCGATGGTATAATTTCACATTTATGGTCGAAACGTATTTCCAGAAATGTTGAAAACAAAACAGAGCTGTAATTAGCTGTACCGAGACATATCCGCACACACAGAGAGAGAGAGAGAAGATAACAATAAAAAAGAATAAGGAAAACATGGCCCCAGACAAATTTATATAGCATCTCCAAAAACGAGCAGTCCTTTTTTTTCCAAAGCACCATTCGCTTGCACAATTCTGTCTTTCTCGCTCTTTTCCACTTTCTCTTGATATCCAAATGAGTGTTGGAACTGTGCAAATCATGATGTTGTTAACGAAACAACATAAAACAATGAACACAAGCACCATCTCCACACAATGAACACGACACGAACGGGAAAAAAAATGCTCAACCATTCTCTCAAAAACGAAATTTATTGTGTCGTGTATGTGTGCGCTTATTTTTCACTCTCTCTCCCGGTGTTCTCGTTTCGTTTATTCCCCGACGAATGGCAAAGTGGTTTTTCCATGCAACATTTGTTACGGAATGGCCAATTTTAAGTGCGTTGTAATTTTAATATTTCTTTTGCTTGTGTTTTTTTCTCTACTCTCGGCGCACTTGTACCATTCCATGTTAACATATTCGCATCAGTGTTTTGTGATTATTAAGTCTGGAGTGTGTGCGGTGCTGGACGGTCGAACGGTGCTGTTGTTTTTTTTTTTATTTGGCTTTCGCCTTTTCAAATAGAGCAATTCGGAAAATGATGAGCGTTATGTTTATTATTCGACCAAATGGATTTCATCAACTCGAAACGGACAGCTGTCAGTGTGTTATACCCGGAGTATCATGTACAACACGTTCTTCGCCTGACCAATTCGACAGCCAAATATTTTCAGTTGATTTCCTCGTTTGTTATTTTTTACCATTGGTGTTCAAAACATTTTTCGAGCTACATTTACCCTTTTCGTTGATGTGATTACCGAAAACGACCGTGGGTATTTTCACAATTTGCAGTCTACACCATTTTACACTGTGCGTAATTACTTTCATGTTGTTGTTTTTTTTTTCGGAAAGATTTGTACGGAAAATTTCCCTGCGATTTTCGAAACGAAATTCTCGACCATTTTCAAAAATAAACCACCGAGACAGGAGAAACAGAGGAGAGAGAAAAAATTGCGTGCGTCAATTGTGAATGAAAGGGTTCCATAAATTCCATCAAATGCATTTGATGTGTGTGCGAGAGCATGTGTTGTTTGCCAACGTGAACCGCCTCAACATTCATATCAATCTACATAATTTTGAGCTCGGATACACGGCGTACAATGTTCCATCGAGCAGACACACAATCAATGCAAACAAACATGCGGTGAAATGTGCTCCTTTGTTGTTTTTAACATCATTTAATTTTATTCATGTTTGTGTTTATTTGCTTGGACTTTTGATGCACACGCTCACCAACAGCTTCCACGGGAATGTGTTTGATGTTTTCTCATACTTACTACTAATTTACAGAGTAAATTTAATGTTGCGCATTTTTTTCAATGTGTTTTCTCTCTTTCTGTCTCTCTTTTTCAGGTTTACAAATACCACGCATAACGGAGCATCCGATTGATACGACGGTGCCACGTCATGAGCCAGTTACGCTGAATTGTAAGGCAGATGCCGCACCAATACCTAGCATTCGATGGTTTAAAGATGGGAATCCAGTCAACATTGCACCCGGTTCACATCGTGTTCTACTGCCATCCGGTGCTTTGTTTTTTCTCAAGGTAAACTCTTTTTTTGTCTGTTTCGATGAAAATACAACGAACGAAATTGAATTTGTTTAGGATTGAACAAATTCCAAATGATATTATACTGATATTTGGAATGGTTTCGAATCAAGCGGATCTTTGTTTTTCGTGGCGAACATTATTTTGCTTAACTCAACATTATTACTCAGTCATGTTTATCAAACACACTGTTTAATTAGCCGGGATTCGGAGGAAAAACAAACAAAGAAATTGAATAAAACAATGAAATATTTATTTCAACCCTTGAGCGGTGGGCGATTTTACCATGCATTGCACTTGAATTTGATTATAAAGTTTGCGTAAAAACGGGAATAATAACGGCGAATCTTGTTGGTCACTTGGGCCAGTGAGTAGAAAAAAATCGTTGCGATTAAAGTTAAATTCGTCGTCTGCCAGTGAAAAAAGCCCATTAAAAGCGAAGTATATTTATGCAAGGTACTGCCTATTGAAGCTGCATTCAATGTTTCATTAAATTTTTTTACGACAAAATGCACACACACGAAAAAAAAATGAAACATGTTCTACGTATACCATACACCCATAGGTGCACCAATGTCATAAAAGTCAATGTGAGTGGAAAAAAGCGCGCTTTTGATATCGACGATGCTTAAATGAATGGAACGTGTAATAATTTTTCGTATTCAGCCATCGTCATCATCGTCGTCGTCATCAGTGCTGAACGTTGCGATGATCGTTAAAATGTTGATGCAATATGTGCACGACTGTAGCCATTTTTGCATGTCACCGGTGCAAATAAATGTCCGAAAAAAAATCCTCGCATGGACGCAGCAATTCACATTCGGACGACATGTCGACGAACGGAGAGAGAGAGAGAGAGAGAGAGAGAGAGAGAGAGAGGGAGAGAGAGAGAGAGAGAGAGTAAAAAAAGCAAAAACGATTGGCTGTGCTACCGGTTCGTGTATGTGTGTGTGTGTGTCGCTGGAAAAGCAGCCGAGCAATTAAAAAACATATAAATTTACCTTTTAAATCTGCACACGTTTTGTATGTGTTACTTAATGCACACATTATCCAATATCAATCCTCATTTTACTGTCGCTCGTAACGATATTGCTTCCCTCTGGCATATGCAACACACGCGGGGCTAAAATGTGTGTATGTGCCACCGTCGCTACCGCTTCAATTTTTGCACTATGACACAAAACATACCGACTACATATTAATGGACGATGCAAGTGAATTTTGCCACCGAGAGACTGAGCTTGGCGAGAACGAATGCTCTCACACTCTCTCGCGTGCGCTCTGTCTCTCTCGCTAAATAGAAAATACATTTACGCTAAATAAACTACACCGGTGAATTTAAGGCGAACATTCTCTCGCTCTCGTCGTCGTCGTCGTCGTCAGTCGTTGATTGTTGATACGTTCGGTACATTAAGCTATCCATTTTAACAACCTTTCTCATACCGAATCAGTTTGTCGTATTTTGATTGCGATGTGTTTCGCCTCAAACATGGCCACGCCAATGGCATGCGAGCGAGCGAGCGAATGAAGAAAAAAAAACGCTCGTATAATTTTGTTTCGTTGTCATTATATTGCCAAGCGAAATGCACACGGTGTATTTGGAGTGTTAGTGTATTTAACGCGGATGCTATTCCGGTTTTGTTTTCCTCTCTCTCTCTCTGTTTCTCTTCCATTGATGACTCGTTCTCTCTTCTCTCTTTTCGACAGGTGGTACATTCGCGCCGGGATAGTGATGCTGGCATCTACTGGTGTGAGGCTGAAAATGACTGGGGAATCGCACGGAGCAGAAACGCTACGCTACAAGTAGCAGGTAAGTTGACTCTTCATTCTCAGCATGCCTTTGTTTCACATGTTTTTTTTTCCTGCCTGCACCACACCATGTTTGTTTCATTTATTCCTCCTGTGTCTCACTTTCCACAACATCATTGAAACACATACATACACACTTTTTTCCCTTTAGCTTAGAACAAAAACACATGACATTTAATCCTGTTCACCGAACCACTTACAAACACATACACTTGAAAATCTGCGAGTAACATTAGCCAAATGACCGTGCACACCGGAATACAAAAGAAAGGGCTCTCCTGTTCCGCGCTACGAACATAAATTTTTAATCTTGAATTTTCATTTTGAGACGCTTAAAGATGCGTTTTTTCATGGTACATACCGGTTGTTTGATACATCCTCCGTCGCTATTTTCTCTGCTTCTCTCACTTTGTTGTTGTGAATTGGGTTGATGATGTTACAACTAAATTTTGAAGAATGATTAAGAGTCGCATAAATAAGAGATAAATCGTTAGTGTTCCATCCATAAATAAGTGAGTTTCCGGAATGATAACAACGGTGATGCTTGGGTTGGTGTTATTTGAGATAGGTAACTAGATTAACTCTGCACATCGAATGGAGAGCAAAGAGAGTGACGGCAGTGGCGACGGCAACGATGAACATGCATGGCATTTTCGCATCGTACACTCCCAAATACACTTCGCATAGTTCGTGTTATCGGTGAACAGAGTCGATTCAACCGCTGCTGTGTATGGTAACTCTAACGTTCAATTTAGCCGAGTTGATTGTATTATGTTTCTCGCTTTTGTTACACATGACGAAATATGTGCATAAAGCTGCTGCACACATGACACCGTTCCTTGGCAGCGCACAAACACGCACGCACACAACGAGAGATGGAGCGATTAACAGTGAATATGTGTGTGTGTGCCGTTTCGAGCGTATATTTTATACAGATAACGATTAAGGATTTTCCGTTTTGCCATGGCAATGTTTGCGTATTGTGTGTTTACATTCGCTTGTGTTCACGAGTGCGAGAGAGTGAGCGAGAGATGAGCGATTTTGCTGAGATATATTCGCTGCGAACGGTTTTATCATCGCAATAATGAAATACTTGATGCAACTAGCGTTCATTTTACCATGAAAACGGTAAACACACATTCACATCGGACACATTCTTATGTGTTTACAGAAACAGCGTCGCCGCCGCCGTCGTCTTCATCGTCGACGACATTGAATGAATGAAATTCATGTTGTCAATTGACTCGCATTTTCTCTCACTCTTTCACGTATCGTGCTTGTGTGGAATAGTTTCATTTTCGGATAGTAGAAGAGATATAATTGTAACAAGCCAGAGATAGATGGATATCAGGTTAGGTCTCTGATATTGACGATGAAGTTTTATGAGAACGGCGAAACACCTTCAATAATTGTCGAGGAAATAGGTTCTAGCATATTTTCTACACAGTGGAATCGCTTACAACAGGAGATAAGCGGCAACTTTGTATCGAATCTCCGTCCAATTTTTTTTTTTTTGCCAGTGCCTAGAAGAGAGAACCATTTAGCAAAATGTAAAATGAATCTACCCACTCGACGTATGCGAGCGAACGAGCGCCTTTATTGCATTAATTAATTTTGATGCATTCAAGCGGATAAACGATGCAAACGTCGCAAGATGCCATACAACATTCCAACTCCCACTCATTCTCTATCTCTATCTCACACTCAGCCCACACTCCATTTTGTTCGTCTTAAACTTTGCATACGCGCTATGTTCATTCCGGCTTTTTCGTTACATCGTTTTAATTACGCACAGTTTACATGCAAACGGCAATGTTTATGTTACGAATCTTGCATACATTCGAACACAGGAGAATGGAACACCATTTTAAGTTGTGCGTTGTTCATTCCGACGCAAAATGCGAAATTGAGACAAAGTCGAAAGAGTTTTAACCTAACAAATGAAAGTTTTTAAATGGTCGTCGTCGTCGTCGTCGTCGTTTGCGTTTTGGTTTGCGCGAGGGTTCGAGGAAAAATCGCTTTATTGTCATTAGTATCAACGACGGGTAAATGAGTTGCGGAGATATGGCAGAAGATCCATTTGAAAGCATTTAAATTGCTGTTTTCTGTTGCTGTTGTTGTTTCTGTTGCAAGGCAAAGAGGGATGCAATCTAAATATTCCATGCCAGCATTCAAATATTAAATGTTTTAAAGACAATATTTTAATCGGAATAATTTTTGTTTGTTGATTTCCTTCATTTGTTTCGAGTCATTCTTTGCAGCAGACGCTTTATGGCTTAAACGTGCGGAATGTTTGCTGCGTGTGGGAGAAGGAGGAAATGTTTGTTTTTTTTTTATACTCATTTTTCCACTTGTATCCCATCTTTTCTGGTTCCGCATATTTTTTTTCTGTTTCGTTGCCTTTCCGACAAAGAGAAATAAACATTTTATATTTGCAACGAGTCGACGTATTAAATGCACATTTTATTTTAGCACCTGAACACACCCGAATATAAATATTGCATTCGCAGACAAAACTCCCCCTACACACAGCACAGCACAGCATAGCACAGGCCGAGGCAGAAGCATTGTTGCAACGGTCGAAAAATGCGAATAAAACCACAGCAGAAGAAATAAAAAAAGAAGAAAAAAGAGAATGGCTTTCGATTCAAATTAAACTAGCCGTTGAAATATTGTCGAAATACGTGAGAATGCGTCGGTGGTTGGGCGAAGGCAACAACAACGGCAACACCACTACCGATTTCTTTTTTATGGGCATCACATACGAAAATTGCAAATCCAGCTCACAAATATGCCATAAACCACGATGGCCATGTATGTATGCACTGAGCGATGCGAGATGCTATGCACGCGCCTTCCATCGATTTCAGTTGGGATTTTTATTAAAGTAAATAAATGTGTATTCGAAACGACGATATTCGAAATTGCGAATGCCGATTGGATTTGTTATTGCTGCTGTGGTTACAGTTGCTGGCTGATGCCGTCGACTCTTTTTTTTTTTTCATTCGACTGCTCACTCAACCGTTTCAAATCGCATCGACTCCTCGCTCGATTTTACATTTCTGCTGCTTTTTTATATACGTATTCAACATATCGTCTACATTATTTTATTGTTGGATTTTCTTTTGTTTTCGGAGCATTTTTTTTTTCGTTCGTGTTGTTTTGTTGCTTTTGCTCACGCTTTGCTTCGATTGATTCCACTTTCGCTTGGCACAGACTGTTGAACGCACGCCTATACAAGTGAAAGGGAAACGAAAAATGCAGACGAGTGTAGTTGTTTTTCCTTGTCTCTCTTGCTCGCTCCCCCACTCGCCGTAAATGTCGACGCAAATAAATATGTATAAAATGTGGATTGAGCTTATGCTGCCGCTGCCACCACCAAAAGGTATGCTTCATGTGATGCAAACGAATGATGCCAATAAAATAAAATATGCGTTTATGAATGGATTTCACATCTGAAATTGAAGATCAAATCCGAAATGCTTATGCAAATCAAACGAAGTGAAACCTCAACAAATCGACCCTCGATGCTCCGATACATTCCATTCGAGAATCAAAATGAATTTTCAAACGAAGAAAACTCGAATCAGGATTCAAACTTAGGCAAGTGGAAAGATAAAATTGAACCAGAGATGCGATCAACAATGAAAGACTGGCGAAAATAGAAAATTCGAGTAAAAAAAACTGTAGATAATCGAGAAAATCAAAGGCATTCCATTGATCGAAACTTACATGTTGCAAACCAAAACCAAGAAAAATATTTTCAGTCTGAAGAAGTTTCTTCTGCCGTCGGTAATATTCATCGAAACACTCAACAATAGTGAATTTTATTGATATATATATATATTCTTGGTAAATTGTTGGTTGAAAACTGTACTTTTCATGATTTCGGTTGCTATGTGCTGTACTTGCGATTTTTCTGCGGGAAAAATGCTGGTTTTAACCGAAAAAAGTGCCTCGGTTCATAAGCTCAATGTGCACAATGTGTCAATGAAGGAGATTTGTGCACATCATGATGCGCAACATTTTATTCGACAGGTTTTACTGTGTGACGCAAATCGACAACGACATCCATCCCCCTGCTATGAGCACGGTACATTCCGAGCGTTTAACTATCATCACGATGGCATTTTCATACATTTTATTCCGAAATGGAGCTTATTTCTGCACATTACATGGCAAAGTGAATGGCAATCAGGAAAGCATGAAACATCGCCATTAGGCCGAATAAAAAACCAAGAGAGAGAGAGAGATAGAGAGAGAGAGAGAGAGAGAGAGAGAGAGAGAGAGAGAGAGAGAGTGAGAGAGTGAGAGAGTGAGAGAGATCGATAGTTCCAGTAAATGTTAAGCAGATTTTTTTTTATTCACTCTGACTCGATGGCAATCACCATCGGCTTCAATGGAAGAGTAACTTTACTGCAATATAATTTTACAAAATGCGTACGAAACGAGTCAATATGTACGGTCGAAAGAGTGTTGACGCAACGCCTTTGCATAATGTAATGTGAATAAAATTCAAATAAATTTTTATAACCAATAAAATCGATGGTAAATTGCGTTTTGTGATTCGAATTTATACCCGTTCGAACTGTCGGTAACTTTAGGCATCACGTACTCTCCATTCAGCATGAACGCTCCCGCTATCTCTGCAAATGCACGGTACGATGCTAGTGGTGATGGTGGTGACAACAATGTTAAGATGTGCAGTACTTGAAGCAATGGAAAATCGTAAGGTGTGACTTTTATCCCTGGAGAAAGTTGTCACCATAAATATGCTGGTCTCCACTATGGCTCCGCAATAGTTTATTAATAATTTAAGAGGTTAAATTCACCGTATTCCAATTGGCTTCTACTCATTCGATTTTATGTACTCGTACATGGGATCTTTGGTTTTATCAACACAATGAACGTGCTGTCGATGACGACGGCAAAAAAACTAAAATTTGTAAAATTTGTTAAGAGCTTTCCTCAGGCCAAAAATGTTGTGTCATTGGAATTACCATTCAAATCGTGTGATTTTGTATATGACTGAAAATTGAATCGGGGAGACAATTGCTCGGCTAGCAATATGTTTCGTCTGGAAAAACACGGCTCGAATATTGCAAACGTGTGGCGTTTCCTCGTATACAGTGGAAAAAGTTGGCACAGCCATGTTGATAGGGGCTATAAATCAAATGAAAAGTAGACTTTTTCATTATTGTAACATGGTGGTAAACATGGATCATTTGTCATTTTTCCGTTGACGTTTTCAAAAAGCAGCAATTATTATTTTTGGATGCGGGTTTTTGGTTTCGCAAAGAGAATGGCGATTAAATGATTTAAATCAGCAGCAGCGACAATAGGACGAAACAACGAAAAAGGGAGACAAAACAATGGGAAAGTGTCTTTTTATCTCGTTTTCACTCGTACGCGCTCGTTTGAAAGGTTATATTTTAATGAATATGCTCTCTCTATCTCCAACACAATAACCAAATTTGTGCTGAATCCGTGTAAATGTTTGCCGTGGAACATTGTGCAGTTCCGTAATTACAATTGGTTAAGCACTGTGAGCATTTTTGTCGGCCGTTGCCATATAATTTGCGTGTATTATTGCAAAAATAACGTATTTATGGTTGTGTTGAATAAATTACGACAATAAATGCCTTTGAAAATTGAGTGAGTTTTGTGTGCTTGGCGGCGATCACAGATTTTCCGGGTTTTTTGCAAGTAGGTAAACGCTGAGCTACTATTGCCGAACACAATGGAGAAACAATGTGGAAAATTATTATTTTGACTGTTGAAAGTCAAAATGGCATGGAACTTAAGAGGTGATGGCAAGGAGAAATGCTTACTTTCTTTAAGCAAATACCTTTTTGCCCGACAATAAATATGCAAATTGAAAAACCATTTCGTTGTTCGACGGAAGTCATACATACAGTCCGGTCGGCCGAAAGTAACTGAATGCCGAGCGTTTTAGTGAGCTGGTCTCTTTTTTGACGAAATAAAAATTACATTTATTCGAATTGGGTTTTTCGAAATGAATGTTTCCCTTAAGACCGATTTTACAATGATTTTTCCATGCAAAATATTTAAATAATACTACGCGTATGAAAAAGAAAATACCCATCGGTGCTACGATTTATGAATGTTCATAAACCAAAAACTGGACAACGAACACTTACACACATTGCCTGCGCACACAATTCGAACAATATAAACAATATTTATGAAAATTTTCACGTTAAATTTCGAATTAAATTCGAAAGAAAAACGAAGCGAATGGGCAACAACGATAGAGAGAGAAGAACAACAGCCAAAGGGACAGCGGGATAAAAAGCAGCAACTAAAATGTACTGATATTACGGCCGAACAGCGATTTGCATAATTTAACAATTCAAATTCAAACAAACGATTTTTGTTGAACAATGAACAATGGATTTCGGTTGTGATATTGTTTTTTTTTTGGCGCTTTCAATTTTTCGGGCTCCCAAGTAAATCGGTTTGCTGTCCTCAAACAAATGCATTAAAGCTCTGTTTAGCTACAATGCACGACGATTTATGTGGAATTCGGCCAAAGAGAAATTTATTTTCCTTTTTTCTTCAGAAAAGTTGTAAATGTGAAACATCGGATAGGATCCGTTTTAGAATGGCCAAATCCAATTCGATATCTCAATGCTGTGTGAGGCTCTCGAATTCCAGGAAGACGATTTGCCATTTGCAAAATGAATGCTTTCTCAAGAGCGGCTTGATATAGTATGGCATAGCTGAGAATGGCTGCTGGCCAATTTTACCTTTATTGAATGTTAAACAAAAGCTCTCTCTCTCCTGCTCCTGGCAACTAACTACAAAAGTAATGAAAAATGAGTGCTACAATGGTGCTGTGAATAAATACCAGTCACCGAGTATTGTGATAGAAGCATTAATATTTCCGTCTATGGCAAATAAATCATCCACAAAAGGTATACGACGACGAACACTGCTGCTGCTGCTACACAAACATCGTGTCTTTGGTCCGTTTTCTTCGTGCTGTCCTTTATGATTTCACCATTCATTTTTCTTTTTTTTTTTCTCTTTCGCCTCTCTACTCTTATGCGCTTTATCTTTGACACATTGAGAAAGACCATGTAGTATTAACACCGGCGCTTACGCTACGGTTAGTTATGGCAACGTTTGCTGGAAAATAAATGAAAACTATGTACAGCCTGATTTCATATCAACTGCCCGTTCGCTTTTTTCTTTATTCAATAAAAATGTGCTCACGTTCAATGTGAATGAAACGTTTAGTACCGGCGATAATGCAACAAAATCGTATGAAAAACGATAAAAAAAAATTGTATATACCCGAGCCATGAGAGGTAAGAGGCGGTTTGGGAACAACAACAAAAATGAGTTGGAGCTCAATAAAAAAAAAAACTATGCAAACGGTTGGGGCATGTCGAACAAAACTATACACACAATTGTGTGTTTCGTATGTTCTCGTTCTCTCTTTCACAGTTTAGCTTTGACTCCCATCGAATGAATGATGTTTCGGTATATGGATTCACGTTCCTTCGCTTTTTCCATTTCGTCGTAAATTTTCCGTAGATTTATTGCTCTCAATTTCTTTTACACTGTAACACTTTACCCATTGCAATTGTCCCCATCCACATCACCCTCCATCTCGCATGTATACACTTTACACACTCTACACACTTGCACATTTGCACCACATCTGACGAAGAAACAAAAAACACAGCAACATTCTGTAGTAGTTGTTGAACTCGATTGCTCCGGATTACAATTTTTTTCCTCTCTTTTTTCTCTCTCTTTTTTTTCTTCCCATTTTTGCCATTGTTTTCGTGTACTTTTCTCTTTCTCGGTTTTTGCTGTCTCGCTCTCTACCTCACATTTTCTTCTGTCGATGGGGTGGCCCCGAACTTCAGTGCTTCGTGATGAATTTCGATTAGAACCGCAAAATACGAGAGTTGCTACCGGTGATGTGGCATTGCTCGAGTGTGCGGCTCCCAAAGGCACACCAGAACCATTAATTTGGTGGAAGAAAAATGGTCAAAAACTCGAAATCGAACATTCGAAACGCATTCGCATCGTGGACGGTGGAAATTTGGCCATCCAAGACGCTCGACAATCCGACCAAGGCGAATATCAATGTGTGGCGAAAAATGTCGTTGGCGTGCGCGAATCAAAAGTCGTTACACTCAACGTGCACGGTAAGTTATGAGAATAATTAATGCTGTTTTTTTATTTTGGAAAATAGAAACGGGAACGTTGGAATAAGCGCGAGCATCTTGCCCGTTTTATTCAACGCGAAATGTTTTAATTCCATCGCTACTTTTGCCAAATGATAATAACAATAATAATAATAAAATTGAACATTTCTTGCACTTCTAGTGAAACCATTCATTATTCGTGGGCCAGTTGATCAGACCGTTGTTGAAGGCACATCGGTTACATTTCAGGTATATTTAGCTTTATCTAATTGAATTTTTATTTTTCGGTTCCATTTGAAAGAATAATTAATTTAGAAAAATTTAATTAATAAGAACTCATTAAATTTTCAATCAATACTTATTTTGAATGTTTGAATTACTCAAAAAAATTTTATCCAGTGTCGCGTCGGTGGTGATCCGATTCCAGACATACTCTGGCGCAGAACAGCCGCATCCAATATGCCACTCGGTAAGATTTATTTTCGTAACTTTGCACTTTAATTAAAAGCAATCAATTTATCTGTTACGGTGCATTCTGTCAAATTGCCAAAGAGCTCCAAATGACAACTTTTTTTCCCTGTTTTTCTCTCCCGCTTTCCAATAGACCGTGTGCACGTCTTAGAGGATAGAAGTTTGGTACTAGAAAATGTTAACCTGAGCGACGAAGGTGAATACCGGTGTGAAGCTGAAAATGTTGTCGGTTCCGCTTCGGCGGTTGGATCGCTCATCATTCAATGTACGTATATAATTCCCATGACTATAGATTATTTTTTGCTCGTTTTTCTCGACTCCTCTTATTTTCCATTCATTTTATGTTTTTTTTTTATTCATTTTCTCTTGTTGACGTTTTAACTTTTTGTTCCATTTTCGTGCAATTATTTCCAATTCACACAACGTTTTTAATTTCCGAAATTGAGCTTTAAAAAAATTTATATGCAATTTCATGTTTTCATTCATTACTTTAGCGGCGCCAAAATTCATTATACGACCCACCGCGCAAATGGTGGATGCTCAAGGCGATGCTACGTTTGAATGTGAGTCATTTGTTTCGAGCAACTGTTTTAAACATGTTTTAATGCATTTGGTCAACTTTTTTTTTTTTGAAACACAGGTGAGGCCAAAGGCTATCCAAGACCGACAATTTTTTGGTCGATTGAAGGGAATCGTTCAATTATTTTCCCCGGTATGTCAATAGGCAATCTCAATGCATCCTCATCGATTGAAGGGCTTTCGGTGTTAACAATAAGCCAAGTAAAACGTTCAGACAGTGGATTAGTGGTGATTTGTAGTGCATTGAATACGGTCGGTTCAATAAATGCCCGAGCCAAACTATCGATTAGTTCACAAGACGATCGTCCACCACCAATTATAATCAGAGGCCCAGTGAATCAAACGCTACCCGTGAAATCAGTAGCGCGATTAGAATGTGTTGCAATGGGCGTTCCAACGCCAATTATCTCTTGGTATCGCGATGGCATTCCAATGGTTGCATCCAATCGTATTAATTTAACGGAATCGGGTGTATTAACCATATCTGATTTGCACAAAGACACCGACCAAGGGCTCTACACATGTGTGGCGAGCAGTCGAAGCGGTAAATCAACATGGAGTGGGTATTTACGACTTGAAGCACCAACCAATCCCAATATAAAATTCTTTCGTGCGCCTGAACCAGAAAAGATTCCCGGACCACCATCGAAACCAGAAGTAGTCAACGTGACCGATGATGCGATTACAATCACATGGATGCCAAGCTCAAAAACTGGAGCATCCGATATCGTTGGTTATTCGGTTGAAATATTCTCAAATAACATGAGCAAAGGATGGATTCCGGTCGCTTCGAAAATTCCAGACACCATTTATATGCAACGAGATCTGACGCGCGGAGCCACTTACATTTTTGTTGTACGCGCTGAAAATATGTTTGGCATTTCACCGCCCAGTTCAATGTCCGACCCAGTTACAACGGGAAAACCAATTATTTACGACGAAGATTTGATTTTAACCGAAGCCCAAGCGATTCTATCGACCGGTGATGTGGTCGAATTGCTCGAAGCCAATGCCACCGATTCGTCGAGCGTACGATTGGTGTGGGAAATTTTGAATGCACAATACGTCGAAGGTTTTTACATTTATTCACGGAAAATCGATCGAAGCGATCAATACAAAATGCTGACGGTGCTACATGGTGGTGGTGCTTCATCTTGTATGATTGAAGGTTTGGACGCGTATGCCGACTACGAATTCTTTTTGGTGCCATTCTATAAAACGGTAAAAGGACGACCATCGAATTCGAAAATCACTCGAACCCTTGAAGACTGTGAGTAACAATGGAATGTTTTTTTCGCTCTTTTTCGTTGTTTTTTTTTTAAATTAATCTCGACAAAAATGTAACTGAAAATATTTTTTTAATTAGTACCAACGGAACCGCCATCCGATATGGAGGCATCACTTCTGAATGCGACAGCAATCTTTTTGAAATGGCAACCACCGCCTGAGGATAGAATTAATGGCGTTCTACTGTACTATCAAATAATCATTCGTGGTTTTGATGCTGGCAACGTATCGAAAATCCTTGCAAATATGTCCGTTGAAGCGGCATCACCCAGTTTAATGCTGGCAAATCTAACGACGGGCGTTACATATTCGGTGAGTGTGGCTGCGGCCACTCGCATCGGCATCGGCGTATATAGCAATCCAGCGGTTTTGCGATTAGATCCAAATACCAATAAATTAGATCAGGAATATACACAGAGGTAAGACAGTTTTTCCATAGATATAAACGCGCATAGCATGGATGGAATGGTCATTGAAAATGGTTGCCCGCATCAAGCAGCAAAATCATTGAATGCCATTCATTGTGAAACGCAAAAAAAATAATAAGCGTAGAGTAGAAAGCCATGCTTTTGTGGTTATTCTGCCATTCAACTTGTATTTTTCCACTCTCCACACTTGAACAGGCATCCAATAAATCACAACTTGGCCGACGATATTCTAACGCAAACCTGGTTCATCGTAATGCTCGGCTCGATTATAGCCATTATTATATTTTCATTCGTGGCGATGGTGCTTATCAAACGAATCCAATTCATCAAGCAAACGTCGCTAACAAATATTCACGGTATGTATACAAGTGCATGGTGTTGTCTCTCTGTGTGTCTGTCTTTTCCTCTTTTTTCACATTGTCTATTTACCACTGCTACGGCTCCGTTTTTTTTCCTGCGCCAACGGGCCTTTATCGTCTCTTGCAAAAATGACAAAGGAAATTATTATTTATCATTTTTATGGGTAATTAATGTGTTCAGCAATAAAAATCATCGTTTTCTCTGATCACATACAATTTGTGTGCGCGATTATTGCTGACGTTGCAACCGACGACTAGCTTTTTTTTCTCCGTACTGTCTATCTCTCTCCTGCAAATATGCTGGTAGAGAATTTTTCGCGGCTATAGTATGTAGAAGAGAAAAAAAAAATAGAAAAATCGATTAGAATGATTACGCTGGTTTGTGGCCCAAGTTTAATGTTACATATAATTTGGCGTGTACAACAGCCACATTCGACAGAATGTTTGATTTGACGCGCGCGCGCGCACGCCTCCGGAACTCCAACATTTGCGGAAAAATCGCAAAGCGCGAGCGCTTCAGCCGCTTCAATCTCCGCTATTTCATTATATATCAAAACGGAAAATATGATAAATATTAGTCATGGTTAATAAACAGTAAACATGATTTTTATAATATATCATACAATTTCGAAAGCAAAAAAAAGGCGAAGAAGAAGAAGACGAGGAAAATCGCTCGCAAATGTAATTGTTCGTCAGACAAGCAAAAGTATGATAGACGTTTTCGGTTGATGTTTATGTGCTTGTTTACTTTTATTCCATGCCACGCATTCTGCTTTACGACTCATTTTCTTCTCTTCACTTTTTTTTTATGCACCGTCATTCGTGACAGTCGGATATAAAGTGAACGCGTGCGGGTTTTTCTTTCTTTTTCTTTTGGTTTTTTCGATTATTTTCTTTTTAACTCACAATTTTTCTGCGTTTACTCAACATAAAATTCTACCTCTCACATATGAGTGTGTGGTATTTATACTAAACGTTTCTATTTAGACAGCGGCATAAACTCACACACACAGTGTAATAAATGAATAAATGAAAAGCAAACGAACGGACTGAATTGAAGAAAATAAGTATAAAATGAGCCGTGAATGGTGTGCGCAGATTTTTCCAAAGTCATTATCAACCGATTGTGAACAATAAAAAAGCGATTATTTCCGTTTTCGACTCCAACAGGAGCATGATTGGTCTTGATTGTAATTGTTCTCTGCCCCTGTGAAGAAAAAGACCGAGCATGTTATTCATTTTGTTCAATGTTTTTATTTCCTTAAAAAAAAAATCAAGAAAATGTTAGAATGATTTTGATTCAATTATAGGCAATCACGCAATCGGATCGGTTCGAAAATTCCCGACGTTGCCATTGAATGCGAACGGTGTTTGGATCGATCCAGCCGGCGGTGTTTGGCGTCAGGCGGCAGCTGTTACAAAAGATGGCATCGCCGATTACGCACAAGTCTCATCGACAGCACCAACGCTACCACTTCCAGATTATGAACGGTAAGCTAGCTTTTTTTGCACTAATGAAGAATTTTTGCCAATTTCATCGCTGAGAAGACGTTGACTTCAACATAAAATATCAAACACTCAAAATACAATTTAATTTGATTAGCATCAATGATGAAATTATCCGACAAACGTAATTTCACACGAAGTGATAACTTGAGATGAAATTTGACACATTTTAACTTTTTAAGTTTATTAAGCGAATTTTCGAGTTTTGCGCGTCGATCACTTTCGACTCCTCGGAGACCATTTTCAACGTTGCAAACAGCTTCAAACGATAACGCTTGTTCATTTTGCTACCATTTAAACATTGAATCGGTTGCGATGTTGTGGCAAAAATAAAAACTTTTTCCACATGAGCATATAGCCACCGGATTTAATTAATTTTAATTTATATCGAATGCTAAGCGTTGAACGGGTGAGAGTTTGAGAAAGCGGTTTCAATTTTGAAATTCGCTTATTTCGAAACTTTTGCACCAAAGGAATTTAGTTTTAATGCGTGCGTAATAATGTATTGTATTACGATGAGGAAAAGAGAGAGAGAAAGTGTGAGAGCAAGGATGAACGGACGCTGGGGCCTCCGATGAATTTGTGATGCCATTCACACATGCGAAACATGGAATGCTCTCCTCGTTTCGGTTGCGAGATTTATGTTCGTTACGTTGCGTATAAATCAAATTGTAACAGGCATCGTATTTACTTTCATGTGGCGAAAATTGTGAATGCGTCTCACTGCTTGGGCGCTCCGAAAAATAACGAACACATTAAAAATCGATGCATGTTTTTATTTTCGCATTCTCGCCTCGCTCACTCACTCTGTCTCTCTCTCTCTGTGTGTGTGTGTCGCACTTAGTTCAATTTCAACATGATTCCATCTCATTCTACGTCTCTTTCTCATTTCATGTTCTCTGTCTCTGGTTCATGGTGCTGGTTTTGTGCGTATGTAGTTTGTCACCGTTAAATATGCCCGATTATGCTGAAGTGGCTGGATGTTCAACATTTAAAAATACACAATCACCGCTGTACGACAGTTTTGGAGCGTATGCAACAACAAATCTAGTCCGCAATGTGAACCTATTTGCAAATCCACATTATCCAACTGCGGGCAAAAACAATAGCATCTATTCAGCGGCAAACGTTTTCCATTACAATGGCAACGATGCGAATGGCGGTGGCCATGGTGGTGGTACGGGTGGTCGCAATTTCATGCATTCGGACGCAAATTTTGCAGCAAATGGCAAAACCGCATCACCAAAAATGAACATCATTGAAAATAAAATGGACGCCATAAATAATTTAAACCGTTCGTCATCGTCGGTAGCAGCGGCCACAGGATCGCCGGCCACCTCATCAGTGGCAACTGACACAACAATTGTGAGCATCAAAAGCGTTCCCTCAACACCGCTCATTGGTAAGTGTCTCATTCGACTCTCGCTTGTAGTCTTTGGAAATGATTTAGCTTTTGTCTCGGCTTGAAGTTCCGGCATGAACTTTATCAACCGTCTCGAAAACCATTTTTATGGGTTTCGACGCCGACTGCAGACGGAAGATAGTTCAATTTTAAAATTGAAAAGCTAGTTGAGTTGGATTCCAAAATTTGAAGGCAAACTAGTCGAAACTGCCAAAATTTTGGAGTAAAATAGTTCAACAGTTCATTTTTTTAGAAAAGTTTAGTTGTGCAAAATGACTTTTAGAAATACGATGTAAATTGGATTCACCATTAAAAATAGAAACTACTAGAAATAGAATACTAAATGCAACTTCAGTCATATTTAACTTTAGATTTACTCTTTTGCCCTTGAAAAGTATGTCGATTTCCAAGCTAAAATCCTTTTTTCGCCTTTTTTCCCATTTCTTTTCTCCACTCCACAGGAACAATGCGTCGAAATCGATTACCAAAAAGTGGTCATTGTGATAAAATAAATTTCGGCGGTTGTGATGATGGGCGGGGTATTGAGCAACCGTTATTCATCAAATCGAAGGAAGACGGTAGTTGGACTTCGGTACAAAATTCAGCATATCATTTTTCGCAGGCATCAACCATGTCGCTCGCCTCATCGACAACCCCATTAACCATGGCTGCGACGACAAATTCTAGCACAAATAAATTTAAGTTAAACGCTAGCAATAATAGTATAAATAGTCCTAATCTAAATAATAGCACCAATAATATCAACAATGTAACATCATCGAATCAAATCCATTTGAGCAGTTTTGGACGAGCCGATAATGTGTAAATAGCAAAACAGCATTAACAGCAGCAGCAAATAGAGAGAAAATGCAGAGAAAAGAAATTCACATGCAAATTATATCATTTAATCCGTAAATTTACATATTATGAAATAAGTGACTATAGAAAAGAGATATATATACAGAGAGCGATCTTGGCAGATGGGAGAAAAAGAATGGCAAAAATCACAGTTTAACTCAATATATGATGATATCATCGTCGCAATTGGCGCGCGCGACAGACACACACAGCAAATCCTAGCATAGTAAGTATGTTATATATCCATTTACGACGTAAATAATGTGTATTTATAAATGTATGATATTCCGTTTGCCACATACTAAAACGGCATCAAGTCACATTCTCGCAAAGAAATATACGCCGTGCTCCGATTCCAAAGACGCTATCGACACACGCACGCACAAAACAAGGATTTTGTGTATGTTGGGCTGGAGGAATTTATCAACTTGGCATTATGTATTCATGAAAAATCGAAAAGCGATGCCAAGAGACCGAGAAAAAACAATAAAAATAGATCATTTGAAATTAACTCCCAATTTGGAGTTTCGCATTGAAGAGCAGAGTGCTGTTGGAATTTCTTTACGGCCAAAAGACAATGGAAATTCCGCAATCGAATGGAATCATATTTTCAATAGTTTTCCCCCATGGAAAGCCATCAACCGCATAATTTTCTCAAGCTCTTTTAATTTATGAGCGTCGTTTCTTCCTTTTTTTTCCTCGAAAACTTTTGAATTATCACCGAAAAACTTGTGCTACTGAGACAATGGCGACAGATTGCAAAAGTCATGCGGCAACGCAATTCGATCAGAAAAATAGTTTCCACTGAAACGCGAGAAAAACGGCACGATGAATCAAGCGACCAAAGCCAAAACAATGGAAATTCATATGCACGAGGTGAATCATCATCGAAATGCAATATAGTTTTCGGTTCTGAATGCCAATGTAGAATTTTTCATTTGGTTCGATTCAATTGTCGATTTTAATTTCCACAAATTGCTGTGGCGAAAAATGTTTGTCGCTTTGGGAATTTTCGTTTTGTTTCATTTCATTAAATTTGAATATAGTTCGAACGAATTTTTTCCACAAAAGCTTTATTAGTCCATGTCGGTGTTTTTTTCTTTCTTCTCGACCCTGCGAAACATTAAACGCTTCTCTTTCCGCTGAATTTTGCAAACGAATCGATGCGGATAAAAGTTTTGAAATTTTAATTTTTCCATCCATTTGTAAAATGGTTTTGTAACTGCATTTCATTAAAGCAAACGGATAGATACCGAAATTCGATGAATTTTGCACAAAGTTGCAATGAAAATGGGTCGTTTACTATTTTTAGCGAGAAAATTGTGCGAAATCAAATTGGTTGCAGCACAATTTCGAACATAGTTTGAAAATGGAAAAGTTTCCTCCTTTTTTGTTATAATGGAATAGTTGTCGCTTTGGAAAATGGACGCTTTTGGTATTGGCAAAAAATCGCCATGATTTAATTGAATTGAATTTTCGGCCGTTTCGGGGGCATCGACGGTGGTACGGTCTGGGACGAAGAAGTGTTACCGAGAAGCAAAATTGTCGATTCATCAATAATTTTCATAATTTATTCATTGTCTGCTCTCTCATATGGTCTCGACTATATATATTGTCGCTGGTTGGTTTCCGGTTGAAAAATCGGCAATATGCATGCCGATTGTTCATTAAAAAGTTGTACCCTCAATTCCATTGTATGTACAAAAATAGCTTTTTTGCGGTGTGGGTTAGCAAAATTGGCAGACATTTACACAATATTTTGCATACACCGGTCGAAATCGAACGAAGATGGATTTCGTATGGAAAAATCAAAGTTAAGGAAAATTGTGGATAATATCAACAAATGACGCGCTTGCATCACCCTCTCGGTGACTCGAATAAATAGGCTAGCGTACTGGTGTGTATATGCAATATTCAGTAATTTTCATGCAAAGATTGAACAAATACTCTTGCCATAAACGACATAATTCCTCACTCACTTCATACTTCGTCCATGTGTTTTAAATTCCGTGTACATTGTTTCGTTCAGGCCCTTTTCATGTGCCACACTGCATGAATCAATGATGAAGTAAATAAGTGTTCATATGCTTCGTCAATATGTATGTGCGCCAGCTCTCTCTCTCTCCTCCTGTCACTCATTCCCCCACCATCACCGCCCTCCAAACGAAAATAATATTATGAAATTATAATAAAAGCGGGATTTGCACAAACAGTCGAATTGAAATCATTTACAAATTAATAATTCATCTATGCATATCTGATTGAAAGCATGGTTAAATTGTATCTATGTGTTGTATATGCTACAATAATGGCACGAATAAGAGAATATTGTTTATATGGTGAGTGGAAGTGAAAAAAGGGCAAACACGCGCGCTAAAAGAGGAGTAAAGAGCGCATTTGGTCTGTTGCCATCGAACAACTAACTGGCACATACAGTGTGTTTTGAGCCAAAGTGAAATGCATGAATTATTTCCATTCTAAATTGACCTCTGGCTCAATTTATGCGACGATTTTAATAGACTAATGCCGAAAACAATTATTTATTTCGGTATATCGGTGCGCGTTGCATTTTCTGCCCGGCTGCCGAGTCTTTTGAACCCATCATCTGCAATGCACGGAGCAAAATTGGTGGCTGCTTGAGACACACACAGCACATGTGACCGACCGTAAGTGGTAGAGTCAAATTGTTGCACTCGCGTATGGAAAACAAATTAGGATATATTAACGGATAGCGGGATTATCAATCATAATCATGAATACGTCAACAGGAGCGAACATAAAAATCGAAAATGCGCACAATATTTCCGTTTATTAGCATAAAATTACGAAAAATCATTGTCATAAATTATCACATTGAAAACATCGCATTAATTGATTAATAATAAATGGTATGAAAAATCACAGAAACGTAGGCTATATATGTAGGAAGAGAAAAAGCAACATAAACACGAACACAAGCACACACACACAGAAAGAGAGGCATATTTACATACGTATACTGATGATTGATGTGAGTGCAATGAATAATGAAGAGAGCATAAATTGTGAAAAACTGCATGTGGAAATGAATTGCGATCAGTAAATGTTCCCATATTACTACATTATAGCCATATATAGATATAAACAAAAGCATTGCACGAATCCAGATGTTTGCACACACACAGAGAAAATACATAGCTCAACGTCATATTAATTGTATAGAAACGCCAAGCAATGGATAAATACGTAACACAAAGATATCATTTCCGTACCAAAAAATTATATGTAACAATAACCAAGCGAAACTGTGAGCCTTACTTTTCATCTACCCTCAAATGCGCTAATTAGCAAACCGACTTTTTTTTTGTCCTTTTCTTGAGTCTTTCGTCTCTATTGAAAACTGCCAACTATAATTTCACAGACTGAACCAACGGACACACGCATAGTATGCGTCGCATACACATGCTGTTTCTAAAACATGTGTCTACCAAATGCATTTTAAATGTCTATCCAAGCATTTTAGAATCAATTTGCCCATAGACAGGAAATTCATTGAATTTTTTTAAATAAAACATTATCGCTTAGTCCTACAATTGTACATACTTAACTATACGAATCATATATGGATTATAATGAATTATTTTCAAAGGTTTAATAATAAAAAGAAACGTATAAATATACAGCGATTAATGATAATAATTATACGTGGTTTTGCTTTTATTTGTTTTTGAAAGTTTCCCATTTTTTAGTGCTTTTATTACGTTGAGGTTGTTTTCCAATGTATAATTGAAATAATGAAGGTGTCAACAGCAAACGAGTCATTTGGAAATGAAGGTGTCATCAAAAAACAGTAAGTGCTTTTGTTTAACATTTCAATGACTATGAAACGTGAGTTTATACGGTAGGTATTGTTTTATCTTGACCTAAAAATCCCGTTCCTTTTTAAAAGCCTGCAATTAAAATAATCTATTGCTTTGTCCACCGAAAATTTATTGAGGAAACTATGAATATCGTTTCATTTCCTTGTCGATGCAAGCTTAGTCCACGGCTTTCAACTCGCATTAATTATGTTAATGGTTGGTTTCGACGATGTCAATGGTCGTAAATTTTTCCGGTAGCTCCGAAAAGTTTTATTTGTGTTGTCATTTTCACCATTGTGATTCACCGTTGGTGAAGAAACGGAAATTTTGATGAATTTATTCAAACGGTTCAAACCATTGAATAAGACACCCACGACATAATGATGAATAGAAAGGAAGAAAAACAAGACAACGAGTGAATGGAACAAAATGAGCGGCACTGCGAATGACATCAGCGATATTCATAAGCGATGCGAACCATAAATCGGTCGAACCAAATCATAATTAAAGGCATGTGAACGACAACACAATCGTGCCTATCAAAATCATTCATAATATTAATTTAGTCATCAGACGATCGCGATTATTTGACTCGCTTCCATACACTTGATAAACTCATTTTGTTGTGTGAGCGCCATACAACATTCCGTATTATATATCTCATCTAACCCTTAGCATTAAATGTTTTTTTTTATCCATACCTTTTTTGCCCTGTGCACAACAATACGAGAACAAAAATTGTTTGGTGAAAAAAAGTGCTTCGTCACACAAAATTTGCTGCTGTCGCATGCGTTCCCATCAATCGCACGGTGTGTACATTGTGCGGCACAAATCTATTCAATTTACTGAGCGAGAGATGTGCGACAGAAGCAGCTAGAACCCGAAGCGTATGCATTTTTCAAAATGAGAGAGAAAAAAATGTTTTCCTGTTGTTTTGCGTTTCGTTATTCCGGTTTTGTGCCGCATGTATGAATGAATGAACGGTCTGGCGATGACGAAAAGAAATTTTCCTGCTTTACTCGATACATATTTTCCATGTATATGTATTTTGCATTGCGTTGTGAGCGAGATAGAGAGGAGCCAAAATCCACCTTACTGAATGGTGTAAAGCGTCAAGCCAGCCAAACATCAACAGCCGAAGCGAAGCGAGCTATAGCAAGCGCAGTTCGAGTGCTGCTCTATTGTGCTTGTACTTATTATTATTTTAATACAAACAACATGAACTGAAAGTGCACTCAACTTCGTTTACAGGCAAATTATGAGCACAAAAGCTTACAATTAAGGCACATTCGGAATGCGGGGAGACACACACAGGCAACGGTAGTGATAAGGAGAAAGAGGAAAAAAGTGAGCGCGATGCAGACATAAACATTCGAATAGAGAGGAAATTATTTTTAATGCAAAAGTATCTCTCTCTATTCAGGGTTTATTATTATATGCTTGCATTTTGCCGTACATTGCACAATTGCAACGCGTATAATAGCTGTTGCCGTTTTTTTTTCGTCTCGTACAATAAAAAATGTTCCGTGTGCCATTGCTTTCGCAATGAGAAGGAAGAGACAGAGTGAAATGAATGGAAGAAAATAACCAAATTGAAATGGAAAATTGTACAACTATCATTTGAAAATCGCTTGAATATAAGGGAGGTAAAATGGTTTGAGCTTATTGAATTCATTTATGTTAATTGCACTCGATTCTTTCAATCTTCATTTGAGACCGATTACGCTGGAAAATGTAAGGGTCATCGCAAGTGGTCATTCTATGGATAGAGCCAAGGGTGGCAGTGCTTTCTATCAATTAAACGCAAAAATCTATGCATAACTCTCGTATAAAGAATCAAATTCAATTTACACATGTTTTTGTCATTAAGAATTATGTACTTCAACGAGACCAAATCTCATAAATAATTGAGCTTTCTGTGTTTCAATGGGATCGCATATCCAAAATTTATATCATGCACATTCTGTAAATAATGGCATTGATAAATGAGATTCTCTACACACACACACACACACACAAGCACACACGTGTGTATAGTATACATTCCATCGTCGTTTGCTCCGTCGCAAAACCGAAACACTGAGTGACTCTTTGGGGGATTTTATCGCCTGTCTCGCAGCAAGTAACGCCAAGATAAGATCTTCGAAATGCATAACTCACTCAAATACTGTCGGACATTTTGAAGTGTGAAATATTGATTCAAGAGTTGCTGTTGTTGTTGTTGCTGCTGCTGGGTAGTCTTTTTTTATTCGATTTGGCACACCTTCAAGCCGGTGCAAACCATTCTGGTTGCTGTTGATCTATGCAAGTCGAGTACCTCCCACTTTGCTTCGAAATGGCATGGCTGTGTAATCGAAAGTGCTCAGTGCTCGTTAATATCGTTTTCGAACTGACATGTGTTTATCTAAACAATGGTGCAGCTTCATTTAAATACTGACACAAGCAATTGGGTCAAACGCTCTGGCCATACCTAATGTTAAGAACGACGAATGGCAAAATCAGCAAGTGAGAGAGATAGAGAATTAGAGCGAGTGAGCAAGAGAGAGAGATAGAGCACTGAAAACACTATGTAAAACACAATTGGCCCATATGGACGTTGACATTAAGTACCTGATTCTTGAAACCCCGTAATAACCAATGCACTCAAACCAGAACGAACGAGCAGGCGAGTGAGCGAGACCGAGACTAAATTACGCAAACCGTCACGTATGCGGCGTAACGAGAGCGAGAGCACATTGAAAAAAGCGAAGAATTACGACGTGACTGAATGACACTTCATGCAAACGTCCATCACACTTGTTCCGCTAACAAACATTCTCATACATATACACACCAATCCAATCCCAACAGATAAATTTCATTTAAATCCTTTTTATTTTTAACATTGCGTCCGATCGCCCTGATAAAGTAACTCACTTGAACTGCTTTTGTTCACTTGCATAATATCACTCTTCGGCTCTCTTTCTCCTCCTCTTTCTTCTCTCTTCGGCAGAGTCGACTCTTCAACTTTTTTGCTCTTTGCATCTATTTAAAACGTGCTCTACATTTAACAACGATGATTGCCTAAAAGATGCCGTGAATTCTTAATCTCTCTTTTTCACTTTCTCTCTTTCTCTCTCATTTGTCGAGTCTTCCGCTGCCTTTCTCACTCTCGTCCATTCTTTTATTCAGAGAAATTGTTGCATCCATAACAAGAGAGTCAAAAAGGCCAACTTTAAGAGAAACTGTTTTCCATTTCACCAATTTTCAATTTTAATGAAATTTTAACTAACAAAAATGCTTCAGCTACAACCACTGGAGATGTGTACAGTCTCTTTCGCTCTCTCGTTTGACGCATCGGACGTGTTTCGTCAAAGGAATTTTCCTTCGGCTCATCAACATGCACACACACACACACACATTTATGAAGCGAAAAATCTGTTTTTAGCCCCACAGCAGCGTTCGTGTGTATTTACGTGCGCTCTCTCTCGCTCTTAACTAAGTTCTGTTTAAATATTCAAATCTGCATAATGCGAATGTAATATTTATTTATCGAAAATTTCGTAAATACACTTTACGCTGTCGTAGTATTTGCTTGGCGAAAGGTTTTTGTTTTCGCAACACCGAAACACGAAGGCAGAAAATGTTCGGTCGCAACTGAAATGCAAAACTCACAAGATAATTCCAGCTCGAAAATTGGAATAGGACGTACGCCTTGATGTAACCAAAAAGAGATGGAAGAAAATTGGTGCACAACGGGAATGAGGGTGAAAAAGAACGGATCCAACAGCTCCTATCTCATGTTCTCTACCCACAGTCACGGAATATACTCCATCACAATGGCGATGGGCAAAACTTCCGGATTGTTTAATTACAATTTTAAACGTTTTAAATGCTCTCTCTCTCTCCCTCTCTCGTCAGCGTTTCACTTTCTCATTGTTTATATTTCTCATGGAATGCGCTCCCAGTTTTGTATTTGCTTCAGATTTTTGAAATGAACATCATTTTGTTTCTCGTTTATGCGCACTCACCATGAATACACCAGATTGGGTTGAGAAAAAAAAAACGAAAAGAACGTTTTTTCAATGCAAAATCTACTGTCGATTTTGTGAGTGCACCCTTTCTCACGTTCAGCCTTTTTCACACACAAAAACCATTTTCAAGTCTGGCCGGATTAGATTACGGCTATGAATAGTTGATGTGAAACATAGTTTTTTTTCCCTCTTTGTTCCGTTTTTCTAGGCTATAACGATTTTATCCTCTTGATATTAGCCCAGAAATTGCTTTAAATTTGCTTATAACTCTTTTGCATTTACGACAAAAACGCCTCCTCATGCAAAACTCTTGACTTTTCACAAACACACTCGACCATCCGTACCATTTTTTTTCACTTTCTCACTCCATCGTGAAAGACCGACTCCATCGTGCGGTCTGTTTCATCTTCAGGATATAAGCACGATTTAGTGACCATGGCTCACATTCTACTCGACAATTGATGATATAACAAAAGTTGTTTTAACAACAGAAAGAAAAAAGATTCACTTTAATTTTATAAAAATTACACTAACCGACGTTTCCATACAATCCAAATGCGATGTTTGGACATTCAACATTGATTTAATTCTGTATTCAGATGGTGGTTTTGCATCGTGGCTGCTGTATTTAGATCAAACGAGTGGATGCAATGCAATTTCAGTATATATTTAGATACTGGAAATGGTCGCTCGAATGAGGTCAACTTATGAATAATTTCAAAGGCAATTCTATTGAACTCATGACTTGAATGAATTTAAGCCACTCGGTTTAGCCAAAATTATCCGTCAAATTTCCGTTCATATTTGATTCATCATACCAATTCAG